CAGTTTAGTGTGGGATACTTTATCAAAGACTTTCGAAAAGTCCATAAAAATAACGTCAGTCTGTGTTCTACTATTTATTGATTTGGCAAAGTCATGTATTGTTTCAACTAACTGAGTGTTTGTCGAATAACCTTTCCTAAAACCATGCTAGAATTTGGTAAGAACGTTATGGTTGTCTAGAAATTCGCAGACGTGATTGTAAACGATATGTTCCAGAATCTTGCATACCGTACATGGTAATGAAATTGAACAATAGTTTTTAACGAAGTTCTTATTTCCGGTCTTGTGAACTGGTTTAATTTTAACGTTTCCCCAGTCTCTTGCTATTTCTCCATTTTGTAAAGACTTGCAAAAAATGACAAAGATATTTTGACACCCACTCAGCGTACTTTTTCAAGAAGTTATAGGAATATCATCAGGCCCTGGTGATTTTTTGGCATCAAGCCTTAGCAGAAGATTAAATATACCACTTTCAGAAACAATGACATCAGACATCGGTGGTAGGGATGCATGAAACACAGGTGATATACCATTATCTTGGGTGAACACCGATTTAAAATGGTTGTTAAAGGCATGGGAAATTTTCGCACTATCGTGAGTTAGGCAGCCATCAACTTCAAATGTATCACATTCAGTGGAGTGGGGAGAAATCAAACGCCAAAATTTCTCGGGAGACGTGGTTATAAAGCTTGGTAATGATTCACCGTAATAACGCTTTTTATACGCAGCTACTTGGTCTTTAATTTGTAAAGAAAGTTTCGATAGTTCTTGCATTATAAATGATGTTCGTTTGTTAACCTTTTCTTTAAGCGCTTCAGTCGCCTTTTATATTACAATGTCTCCCTCGAAATCCATGTGTTCTTACCCTTACATTTTTTTGTATTCTTGGGTACAAAACACTCGATACTTTCATTCACAATCTGTTTAAATCTGTCCCAAAGGTGGTGTACATCACAAGTGCTATTGCAGAAATCATCAAAATTAAAGGAAAGCAGGTCAATTATTGACACATCGTCAGCAAGAGAGAAATTCGGAAATGACAAAATTTTACAATTACTGTTTATATAAGTATTAGCTAGGGTAAACAACACGGCCTTGTGGTCTGAAGTTCCCGGAACTACTTCGCAGTAAGTTTTGGCACTAATGGATTCACTTACTAGAAAGAGATCTAGTACTGATTTGCAATTTTCTTGGATTCTAGTGAAGTCTGTTACAATTTGGAATAGGTCAAAAGTGAACGCAATGTGTAGCATTGCTTCTCCCAAGTGATCATTGTGATTATTGAGCGAAAAATTCGGCCAGTCTATATTCGGCAAGTTGAAATCTACAGCCAGAACATCTTTGTCACCAGGTTTTATATTCGAATGTAGATACTCCTTTAACGATTCCAACATGTCAATAGACGAGTTAGGGGGTCTATACATGACTGCTATTACATATTTAACCTTACCGTGGTACGCTTTGCAGAATATGCACTCAACGTGTCAAGTCAGACATTCTCACTATACGCAAATGTTTTTTAAAAAGAATGCAAACACCTCCTCCTTTGCTGCCTCGGTCTTTTCGAATTATAGTATATCCGGCAGGAACAAATTCGCTGTCTTATATTGATTAATGTAGCCAAGTCTCAGTGAGAACTGCGATGTCGGCATCGTGTACTAGTAATATACTTTTGAGTTCGGTAACTTTATTGATTACACTTATGCAGTTGATGTTTAATATTTTTACTTCTGCGGTTGATGAATGATATTTTTAATGACTGATTTTTAGTGCTATGTTGTCATGCTGTTTTCTTATTCAGCCTAAACCGTGTCGTCTTTTTCTCGTTCCAACCAAAAAGCACACCGTCTACGCTTAACTTGTCGAAGAATAGTTTGACCTTAGCGCCTTGCTCTTTTTCTTGAGCTGCACTCCTCCATAACTGCTTGCGGATTTCCCGAATTCTTTTCGAAAAGTCATCGGAGAGTGAAAAATTGGTGTCCTTTAGTTGAGGAGACGCTTTTAGTACCGCCATTTTTACACGGTAGTTGACGAACTTTACGATAACAGGTCGAGGTTTCTCAGAGGTTCTTCGTCCAAGCCTGTGACACCTCTCAATACCGTTCACGGTTATACCTAGTATTTCACGGAAAATGTTATTTTTGACTGTCGCCTCCAGTTCCTCGTACGTTTCTTTGTTAGGCTCCTTTAAGTCAGTAATTTATGGCATGAGTCACTGCTCATGCCATGAATAATGTCACAATCCCGTGACATCCCGTGAAACGGTTTGATGGGATTGTGAATAATGTCACAATTCCATCAAACCCTTTCAGCCAGACAAGTGGCCCATACCCGTAGGCAGGTATGTGTCACAGGTATATGGGTATGTGCCAAAGATTATTGACAGTTTACATCTACCCAGGAACGGCAAGAACAGACATGGATAATTTTAATGCGTGAACGTTAAGGAAAAGCTGACATTGACAGGGTGGACCCAACCAATGCAAAGAATAAATGTCACGTCCCCAGCAGGAATCGAGCCCCGGAATTCTGCCTGGCAATCAGGTATTCTACGATAGAAACCCACCAGGATTCAGAACTACTTTTCAAATATGCCCTGGTGTTCACGAAATGTAGTTGCAGAGCTGGCTATTCAGTTTTATAAACATTACATACTCCTATGATACAGCTGTCACGTCAGATTAATTTGATTTATAGCGGTGTCCAGGGCAACCAACCTCCCTAGCAACGATGCTTCATCTCAGTTTACTGCTCTGGTGTTGATAATATCCATGTGGTTGGCATTGTTACACATCTGTAAACAACTGGCTGTATGAAACATATACAGCTCTTTGTAGTATCTCTGTGCTTGCATTTGTACGTACATTCCAACCTCATTATAACAAAGTTGCATCACACAAGAAATAAGTTTGTTATATCCAAAAATTTGCTATAAAGGTTATTTTTAACACTGCATCTATTGAAGACTATAACTCATTTACTTTGTTAGAACTGATATTTTATTATACCCACATTCGTTACATTGAGGTTCGGGTGTATCTTTAGTTTCACTTCCCAACATTTCACTCAATAAAAAAATTACAACCAGACACTTTCTATCAACATGCTTGTATAACATTGACTCCCAATGTACGTGGGATCTGCCAAATTTTCCTTTTGTGAATCGGCGAAGGGCTCATGATGTATCCGTAGCACAACACGTAAACCTACACAGCTGTTCATTTTGTTGATGGTTTCACTGCTGATGACAATTAAAATATGTCTGAGCGCTTTGTATTGGGTGAGCTTTTAAAACACCCGCTCATTGCTCAATTACCACGCTTGATGCCTACGATTCTATGCTTCTGCCATGCATTATGATATGTGTTAAGGAAACTTCTCCCACTGCATGACATTTATATATTGTTTTCTTCAAAAGCAACTTCTACAAATACCACGGCTCTGTAATAGTACACCTGCTTGACACAAAGACAGCCTGTGTTTGACCCTCACTCAGACGTGGAAAATTATTTTATTTTACTTGCACCCTTCTCGATTTTTCAATCACAAAAAATGATTTTTTGCTCACAAACTACGCCGTCACAAAATTCCTGAACTGTATTTAAAAGCAGTACGTAGCTGTGTTTTATAATACAAAGAGATTTCAAGATTGGGGCATCAAATTTAGCAATTTCTCCCCACAAATGTCAGAAAATCTAGAAGTGCCTCTTATACAAAGGTGCAACTAATGCATAGGACAACAGAGTACTCAGAAATACTATCTTGCAATGATGAAAAAAAACCTTAAAGAGAGGTTGGGTGTTTGGCTCTAGTGAAAAAAAACTCTATTTATGAATTTTTTTTTTTTTTCATGGCAAGCTTCCTGCCGTTTTTTACAGCGAAAGCTGTTATGTGATTCCAACTCGGGTCACGCGTGGCGCTATAGTTGTCCGCTGCCGCTGGTGTCCTCAACCACTGTCGCACGAAATAAGAAAAAAAAAAAACCTTGAGCAATATTGGTGGGTGCTGCGGATGGGGTTGGCCGTTCGATGCTGTTTGAGGTATCGTTAAGGTGGAAAGACAAATGTACAGAAAGACAGACAGACCAAAATTTTTCCGTCGAAGGTCCCCAAGAAAGACTATCGTCTTTAAAAACCTAGTACCAAGGACACAGGGCGGCTTGAACCCGGGTACGCTGCGTGCCAGCCCAGTATTCTACCAATGAGCCACGCCGACGCTTAGGACTTGTTCACAAACTTGCGGTAGGCAGGCTTGATGTTGGGAAAGGAATAGTGTTAATATGAGCAATAAAGTGTTTTAGAACAGCAAAAAAACAAATAGGTGTTGCACAATGCGTATAGCGTAACGAGTAGAGCATACAATGCTCTAGCTCATTACAAAAGTTCGTTCTTGATCACCTATTAACTGTGGCGCATACCCACTTCAAGCATAATTCCTCATCATCGTCAGCCACTGCGTGAACAATTGGCACAAAATACCTTGCAAGTGTTTAACTGATACCATGCTTCTCAGAAGAATGACAAAGGAAAGTGTAGCGATTGCCAGCCTACTACCCAGAAATTATTATTATTAGTGCCACAATGGGTACCCAGCAAATATGCTTGCAGTAGTTACCCAATGAGTGTTTAGAAACGGCTCTGAAAGGATGCTCTTCTAGCTTTGGCTGTGACTGTCCTGTGCCTTCCACACAGGCCTGGTTTTATGTTTTTTTTTTAATCCTGTAATGATATTTCATAGTAGACTGGGTGAGAAAGTTAAAGGCTGCATTTTATGCCTTTACTCATATATTTATAGGCAATCATTATTTGAGAGAGCATAACCTAGCAATTTTCAAATCTGCATGCAATCAAGAAATGTTCTAGCTAGCAATATTGAAATAATACTTAGAAGTAAAGAAAGCAACCACCAATTTATAAGAAACAACATGGTCGATTTTTCATATATTTCTTGGCTTTATATAGAAAGAGCAATGCATTCAAACTCGAAAACTGGGAACTTACTTGGTGACCAGTGAGCCTGTGAAGAACAGGTGCAGGAGAAACTTGAGATGGCACCCAAAGAAGCACTTCTTTGTAGACTGTGCCCACCACAGCAATCAGTTGCTTCCAGGAAACACCCACTAGTTGTGCAGTGTATCTTGAGTGCAGCCTACCGTCAAGGAAAGTGGACTGCTGCTTGCATAGTGTACTCGTAAGTAATAAATAATGCCATAAACATGGAACAACTACGCTCTAAATGGCAAGTACAAATCTGCATCTGTTCTGCAACAAAAGCAGTTAAAGGGGAAAGACTCAGCCTTATTGGTAATTACCAATAAGGCTGAGTATATCCCTTCATGTCTTAAGACATGAAGGGATATTTGGCAGAAGGAGAAGAAGGGAGGACAATGGTTTAGTGCAACTGAAGCACAAATATATACACGCTGCACCCAGATTTCATGCTCAGAGAGGCTTCTACTTACGCTGATTTTTACAAGATATGTGAACCGAAACACAAACAAAAATTCCACAGATACCCCGTACCTTGGGAACCCGTGCTATGCGAACCATGCAGATGAAAGCTGACTGTGTTGTTATTTTTTCTTTAAGCAAAAGTCTCGAAATGACGCAGCTACAGATATGCACAATTGTTGTACACAGAGATGTACGTAGAAGACTCGCATGTGTTTCATATAACCAGTTCTTTGGAGTTGCGTAACCATACCAACAGCAACATAGATATTAACAACACCAGAATCGGTAAACTGACATGAAGCACTGGTGCTCGCGAGAATGGTAGCCGTGGACACTGCTACATGAATCAACTTCAGCGGATGGCACCTAACTACAATTGACATTAACCCGGCGTGACGGCTGTATCATGTAACGTTTATGCAACGTCCATATCAAGCGTCTGTCGAATAAGAAAAAATGTTTGTTTCGCATTGCCAGACGCTCACCTTCTAACTCGCGTTGGGATGTGTACAAGATTGCTTCCAATGATTATATTTCGGCTATAGAAAACGCTAAACAGAATTTTTTATCTAATGTGCTTCTGTCTATGCTTTCTTCAGACTTAAAAAGTTTTGGCATACCATAAACCCTCCTTCCGATGACACCATCACCTTAAACGACACATCTGGTGAAACAGTTCCCAGCAATCTTTGTGCTATGCTTCTCAACGATACATTCGTAAAAACTTTTCCGTGGCGTCTACCGTTGCGAAGCCTTCAACTCAAGCCCTCAGTTGCGCAGCTATGCCTTCAGTACAAATCGATGTTTCCGGTATCTTTAAACTTATCACTCACCTAAATAATTCCTCATCTCCTGGCTTTGATGACCTAAACAAAAAATTTTTGAAAAACACTGGTGTTTATTGTTCTATCGTATTAACAAAAATATTTCAGCAATCATTGGCCAAGGGTACGCTTCCTAAGAAATGGAAAATAAGAAAGGTGATTCTAGTTTATAAGTTTGGCAATAAAGATATTCCATGTAATTATCGCCCCATTTTTCTAACCAGTAACTGCTGCAAAATACTAGAACATGTCATCTACAGTAATTTGGTTAACTATCTAGAATCCAACTCGTTTTTCGCAGCAGCCCAACACGGTTTTCGCAAGTCGTACTCCTGTGAAACCCCACTAATTTACTTTACTCACAAATTACATCAAATTTTAGATAGGTCTTCGCATGCTGACTGCATACTTTTAGATTTTTCAAACGCATTCGATAAGGTTTCACACGGGCTACTACTTCACAAACTAAATCAATGAAACATTGACAGAAGTTTGTTGACTTGGATTGAATATTTTTTGACTGACCATTCGTAGTTTGTTGTCGCTAATCAATCTTGCTCTCCATTTAGCCCTGTTTATTCAGGTGTGCCGCGGAGATGCGTCCTTGGGCCCCTCTTGTTTCTTATTTAAATAAATGACTTGCCTTCTTTGTTGAAATCTAATGTCCTTTTTTTTTTGCTGATGACTGTGTTATTTTCCGTGAAATAACCTCTGATAACGACGCTATCATTTTGCAGTCTGATTTGAACTCTGTCGTTAATTGGTCGAAAACTTGGCTAATGGAACTCAACACTAACAAATGCAAGACAATGTGTGTTTCTCGTACTAAAACCAACCCATCACAATATTCTCTTAACAATATGCAATTAGAATCAGTTGCTTCCTACAAATACCTTGGCATTCACATTACCACGAACTTAATTTGGAACTTTCATATTGAGCATATTGTTAGCCAAGCTAACCGCATGTTGGGTTACTTGCACCGCAATTTTTTTACAGCTCCCTCATCACTCAAATTATTGCTCTACAAAACATCAGTTCATTCCAAACTGGAATATGCATGCTCAGTATGGGACCCATGTCACGAAAAACTTATAACTGCACTAGAACTTGTTCAAAATATTTCTGTTAGATTTGTGCTAGGCAATTACCATCGAACCGCGAGCATTACTAGAATGAAATCTGATTTAGCCCTCCCATCTCTCTCCATTAGGCGTCAAATTTCGCGACTATTTTTCATAAGCTGTATCACCACCCCGTGCTGCGTGGCAAGCTTATACCTAGGCCACACTATCAATCAAGTCGTGTTGACCATGCGCGCAATTGATATGTGCAATTGATATGTGCAAAACAATGCCTTGCTTTCATTCCTTCTTGCCCCGGACAAGTCGCGACTGGAATCACCTTCCTTTTGACACTGCATCCATTAATGACGTCCAACAGTTTCGAAATGTTCTAGCTAACATAGTATAAACAGGAGTTCTTCTAATGTTTTTTTAATTACATTGTGTTAATGATGTTATTGTATGTTGTATCTTAACGTCTTTGTGCTTTTTTGTTGTTGTTGTTCCTTGCTCTCACACCACTCCCCTCTGTAATGCCTTTGGCCCTGAGGGTATCATAAATAAATAAAAATAAATAAATTATAGAACAGTGATGTAAGTGACATTTTGATTTTTAGAGCAGATTATGGAGCAGGAAAAATGGTGCTTTAGAGCAGCATTGATTGTTTTTAGAGAAGAAAAAATACTAGCCTGGAGCAGCTATTGGTGTTTTCGAAGCTGAAAGCGAAATATTCCGAACGACTCCTGGAGTTTAATGTGCCAATTAAGCCTCCTATATATACCTTAATATTTACTATTAAACATATTGCACATACAATAATCACTTCAAATAACAAGAATCATAATAAATAGATGGTCTTTGAATACTATGTAAGTGTTTTGATATTTTTACAAAAGTAGCCAGTATTAGAATTTTCAAACATCAAATAAGCTAAATAAAATTAACATTTCAAATTCTTGTTTTGTGATATAAACGAGGTCAAAGCCTATAAAAGTCCTAAATGTAATCGTCCCATATCAAAGTTGTCACAGCAATGGCTAGTATGAATAAGAAGTCTCACATGCATTTCACCAAAATAGTCTATAATTAAAGTACAAATATACAACTGCATAAAATATATATAAAAATGTGATAAAAATGTGAGTACGTATAGTATTCTCAATATTTTAATATGCAGCTACTATACAAGCTATATACTAGATGACAGTATACAGCTTATTTTTGTTTTCATTTAGGCTCGCTGCATGGTCACATGATTTAACTTGATTGTTTTTAGTTTCCCCAATGGCATTTCGGAGCAGGTTGGGAGCAGTTACTAACATATATTGCACTTTGGAGCAGCACGGAGCAGCATTTCTCTTTTGGAGCACTATGGAGCAATTGGAGCAGCACTTCCATCACTGAAAAACTGGATAACTAGCACTGCAACTACAGTTGACATTTTACAAACATTAGGGTCTATTTGAAAAGTAGTTCTGAGACCTGCCATGGCTCTGCAATAGATAACTTGATTGCCACACAGAATGGAGGGGTTCTATTCCTGCCAGAGCAAGGTGTGGGAGCGGTCTAGTTGGTGTTCCATGTCTCAAACAGCTGAAGTGCAAAAAAGGGTAACAACGGCTTAAGAGAACGGGGACAAGCACTGCTGGAGCCCTGATATTTATTAATTGCATTCATTGTATCAACGCTGCTGATGCCAGCTTTTTCTTAATGCTGACACGTTAAAATTACCCATGTATAATCTCCCCATTCCTGGGTAGATATAAACTGTCCATCTCCTGTGCCACATACCTGCGCATGTGCCACAATACTCTGTTATGTGCCACACCACTGAAAAGAGTTTGACAACCTACACAACAGGATTGAGACATTATCAGGGGTGGTACTAGGCTTCAGCCTTTAGGAGAAGCTAGGAGAAGCTCAGGGAGTGAAATAATGCGGTTTTGGAGGAGCCTTCCCCGTCAAAAAAAGTGAATTGGTCCAATCGGTCATACCAGTTTCTAGCAATTGGTCCTAAATGGAATGAATTGGAAAGCAACTGGGATGTGGTGCTTCAATGTGCAGGACCAATTGGACTACACAGTTATGATTGGTCGCTCTAATAGGCCCACCAGTTTCCGATTGGTCTCCGAATTGGAATGCTTGTCAGTCCAATTGGTTGCACACATCCCAATTGGTAAAACATTGGAACAATGGATTCCAATCGGCCTCCCAATTAGAATGCTTGTTGGTTCAATTGGATGTGCACACCCAAATTGAAAAAGACTTTCCAATTGGAGAAGACCCTTTATTGGATACATTCTAGTTGCAAAGAGTTCATGTTGTGAGTGTTCCACTGGTTCACCTAGTAGAAACCAGTTAATTTCAACAGGCTGACCAGCTAAAGACCAGTTATTTTCAACTGGTGTAACCTATGGAGTGCCGTGAGCAAGTTCTCTGAAATCGGCAATGAGTGAAAGTGGTAAAAATTTTGTAACATTTTTTTTAAATCATAAAACACCTTACTACAGTACCGCTGCACACTTTTCTTGCCACTTGACATCTTTATCACGCGAGCAGCCGCCACAGTTTATTCATAAGAGAACACAGTGAGAAAGCGGCTGAGCAAGCATTGGTTTAGTACTAACAACCCTTCCAAAAACGCTGCATTCGAAGCAATAAAGTAAGATCAAAATAAACTTTAAAAATTAATTTCTTATTACAAAATTTTGTATTGTTTTTTTACCATAGCAATATTCATGTAATTTATAATTTCATAAAGTCATGCACTCACAGTGCAAGCGCGGCGGCAAGT